TGGTTTTTAGGATTTTGTAAAGTACTCATGGTCTTCTAATCAAATTTGCTTGTGGGAGAAGCTCCCACTTGTAGATTTTTATTATTTGCCTGTATACAAGTATAATCAAGGAAGCTGCTGGTTCTTCCATCCAGGGTGAACCAGGGTGGGGCTCTGAACTCTGACATCTGGGGCATTGATGCCAGGGGCTTGGTGGCAGGGTGAGTGACCGCCAGGCCTGGATTGAAGATCTTCCCTTGCCAAGGTCAGAAAGGTAGGGGATAGTCTACTACTTTCCTATGTGAAGCGATCCTTTTGGCCACTACACCAAGATGACAAGTACATATCTGGATATTGTGGTGGGGCATCGTGTGTTCCTGCTAGAGCAAGACCAGCATGGTTCTGCAGAACATCATTCCAGAAGTCACGAGGAGCAAAACTGAAAGCAGTGAGCATGCAGCTCATTCCTAGTCAAGCCTGCATTAGGATCTTGGTCCCTTAAGTCTGAACTGAAGTGTTTCTCATTGTACAACACTTCCTGGTCTTATGAAGCATTAATAAGGGCAGAAACCAGAAAGGCAGGCCAGTGAACAATTTATTTGTTGCATTGTCCCTTAAACATATCAATACAGTAGCGCCCCCCCCCCAAAAAAAAAGATTCTATAAAAACAAAATACAGTAGATCTTATCCACAGGGCACATATTCCAAGACCCCCAGTGGATGCCTAAAATTATGGATAGTACTGAGATTATATATATATATATATATATATATATATATATATATATATATCCACCCACAAACATACATGCACTTTATAACTTCTCTTTGGCATATCTGAATTGCCAGAATCTTGCTCTTTGGGGCCATTATTAGGTAAAATTAAAGTTTCTTGAACACAAGCACTGTGACACCCTGACAGATGATGTGATAACTGAGAGGGCAACTAAGTGACTAATGGTGTGGAGAAGTGTAGAATTTCCAGCATAGATTGGCTGGACAAAGGGATGATTCATATCCTAGGAGGGATGGAGTAGGACATGAATTATTTATTTCTGGAATATAACACGTTCCATTGAACATGTTCAGACTACAGTTGACCCTGGATAATTGGAATGGCAGAAAGGGAAACCACAGATAAAGGTGGACTACTGTACCTTTTCCACTAATTGTATAAAATTCCCCTTTAACTGAAATTGTAGTCCTCTGTACAGCTTAGCATGGTTTGAACACACATCAAATTAGGTTACCATGGTGGTAATGAAACCCCCCCCCCATGAGAAATGAGAAAAATATTGTGATGGTCTGTCCTGCCTGAAGGCGGGCCACGCTGGGTGGTTGGGCATGTGTCTCTCCCTGGGATTTCATGAAGATCCTGGGCTGCAGGTGTCAGTAGCTCTGTGTTGACATCCAGTTTAGAGGGGCCCAAGTTGAGAGGGTTTCCTCAGTATGCAGAGTTCAAGGAACCTCCTATGCACCCCCCCCCCCATAGCAGTTGGAACATTATATATAGTTCTATTATTAAGCTCTGTGTGTTAAGCATTAGTCGCCGTTAGGCCACGAGCTACTTCCACCCAGCGATATAGCTCACCCTACCACCCAACCAGTATGCTGTCCCCTCAGCATGTGTCCCTCTCTCCAGTGAATGTCAGAAATGCTGTTTGGGTGATGAGCGGTTTGTAAGGGACTGGAGAGTTAGAAGAGCAGACAGTCAGTGACATTTAGAGTATTATTACTAACAGACTGTATTTCAGCACTGGCACAGTCACAGGTGTCAACAGATGGCCTTCCCAAGCTCGTGATTAGAATCCAGTAATGAATCTTTGTCACAACTCAGATGTGACTTGGATGCCTGGCTCCGCTGGCTGCCCAGCCAAGTGTATGGTGTCTTCCCTCAGCTGTTGTAGATTCTCTGGGCTGTCGCCATCCACAAGCCAGAGAGTACTTGGGGCTGCTTTACCTGCCACCCTAAGGCCCCCAGAGAGATTTTGAGTAGCGGCCTGCATAGAGGGGTCAGGGGAAAGAGACATTAGGGAGGTTGTGTGTATGTGCGTGGGGGCAGGGGTGAGGGTGGGAAGGGGGGTTAAAAACCCTCAAAGGAAAGGTAGGAACTGCAGGGCAAGAACTGAGAGAAATCCTTGGGAGCCTCAGGGGACTCCCATCTGTTTTCTGATTTGGGATCAGCAAGTACAAACAAAGCAACACACACATATGTGAACATACAAACAAGCAAGTGAAACAGGGAGGTTGGATGTTGGCTTGTGACAGTAAGCTGAGACAGTCATAGGGGTCACCTCATGTGTGTTTGTTTCCCTTCACTCTTAAGGAAAACTGCCTTGACTGCTTGGTGTCCAATGTGAGAAAACTGTTGTTCCATATATGTTGAGTGTTTTGTTTAACTTGTGAATAATTCATGAAGGTGCACAAGAGCTCTTTTGCACTTGAAAGGTCATGGGGACACCAGGCACTGTTGCAACTCAAGGAAGTGGAGGCAAATTTGCTGTCACCCTATTGGTGTGGGGCAGAAGATGACTCTGTAGCTCATCTAACTGTAGCTGCATCTCCTCCATCAGCTTCTCGGATTCTGGAGGAAGCATGTGCACCCCCTGGGGCGGTGCCTCCATCCATACCTCCTTTGTGTACCCACAGAGGGGAAATAAGCATCTTTAAGATGTGGTGTCATTCTATCTCAGACCTGTGTATGCATTTCTGTTTGCAGGAGTCTTCTTTACATTGATAATGTGTTTTTTTAAAGTGGCTTTTACAGTTTCTCAAATATTTATATTTACTTGATTTTCTGAGTTGAGTCATTAACACCATTATCTTACCTAATAATAGAGAAACATAATAAATTGAACATATCTCTGCTACGCCCACAGCCAATGAGAGTGAGTAAGCAAATTAACCCAAGAAAGATGTCGGTTAATTTATATACATACCTGGGTCCCAGGAACTTCCTCGGCATCCTGGTCACTCCCAGCCGGCCAATGGAGGGACAGGGGGACCCCTTCCCAAGCCTAAAGCCTTGGGAAGGGGCCGAGCCTACAATCATAGGGAAGGGGAAAAAATCAAGGGAAGCATATCCTCAGTTGAGGATAAAAAGAAAAAGAAAAAGAAATGTCATATCCTGTGAAAGGTACATCTTGAAAATGCTTAAAGAAAGTTGTCATTTTTTCATGGTGAAGGGACTGGAGTCTGTGTTGATGAAAACTCCTTGGTGGCTCTGATGACTGGCAGTGGCTGCAGCAGCGGGGTGATGGGGCTGGTGTCTTCCCCTGATCAGTCTGATCGCCTCTCACAAAAGGAGGCCAGACTGGGGCTTAGGTCCGCTCCCAATAGGGAGCGGGCCTAAGCCATCAGTAGGACATCCCCCGAGGGCTCCCAGTATGTGAGAGGGGGCAGGCTGGACTGAGAGACCCCTCCCCAGTGATCAAATTTCATGCACCAGGCCCCTAGTCTATTATAACTGGCTATTTTCTGCATATGTAAAAGCATGGGAAGGATTTGTATTAATTTTGTACTCAGCCAACAAGTGAATTCAGATATAACCTTTACTAGTTAGATTCCTCTCCTTCAATCGGTCAGTTCCCTAGTTGAACCTTTCCTTTATTCTTCACTTTGGAAATGAATAATGTCATGATTGGACAGCATCCAACAACTCTTACTTTTGACTCTTCATTTCTATACTGGTAATCCTGTTGACTCCAAGAAAGAAGATACCACTAAGAAGGGCTCCTGGTGGCTAACTGGGTTCAAATTAAAAACAAAATCAAAACCAGAGACCACAGCCATTTCTACACAGGGGCCTGTCAGGAAAACTGCACTTCAGGAAGAAACCTACACTGAACTGCCAGCTTGCACTGTGTTCCTGCCATCTTAGCCAACCCTTGTAAAGTAGTTCTGCAATTGTATTTCAACCAATAGGACTGAGACTTTCCTCAGCTAATCCCGAGCTGCCACAGCTATATCCCTCATCAGCATCTTCACCAACCAATCAGTGGTTCCATTAGGACCCATCAGGACAGTGCTTTCTGGACCAATCAAACCGGGAGGATTTGGCATCCTCATGTGCCTGAGGACAGACTAATCCGGGACCAGGACTGGGGACTTCTGTCTATATAAGTCAGCTCCCCTCTCCCTGGGAGAGCAAACTTTACTTTTTGACTGAACATTTGGTGTTTCCTTGGCTGCAGGTGAAACACCAACGAATGAACACAGAAGACAGATCAGGGCAGGGCAGAGCAGAGCAGAGCAGTTTAGCTGGAGAGGGGCTTTGCCCCAGGGCCTCCTCATAGCCCTGCAGTTTCCTAATTGAGCTGAAGCTATTCCACAGCCCTGGTGTTGTCACAGCCATGTTGTATCACAGTTGAGCTGTTTGCACTGAATACGTTTTCCTTCTTCCGTGCACCCCAGATTGGGATTCCTGTTGGTGTTGGATTGGTGCCAAGGACCATTGGTTGACAACCCACTTTTGGCCTCTTAAAAAGTACATTAGGAGATTTCTTATCATTTAACCCTCTTTACATTAATTGGTCGTGGTGCATTATTGTAATATCCGGCTCTGGATTATGTTGGCCAACATTTGGGACTTTTTAATTTTGGTGCAATGCAATACTTCTCTGGCTGAAGAAGACATCCATAGGCAGGGAAATGTGTTCACAGACTGCAAGGTCAGCAAAGGATATGCTGGGGCCCAGGGACTGAAGGGGTGAAAAGGCAGGAAGCCATCCCTCTCCTCCCTTCCCCTGGCCCTGACCAGGCTCACAGCCCAGTTTCTCTGGCCTCCTTGTAGGCGGAGCCCGCGCATGCGCCTCGTGTGACCCGTGCCCGCCCACCTCGGGCCTGGGCCCGCCTCTGCACAGTGGCGCTGCCCTCCGCTCAGCCCCGCCCACCTCCGCTCAGCCCCGCCCACGCCCGCTCAGCCCCGCCCACGCCCGCTCAGCCCCGCCCACGCCCGCTCAGCCCGGCCCACCTCCGCCCAGCCCAGCCCAGACCAGCCAGCGCGAGCCAGCGCGGTGCGATGGAGGGCCGAGTGCAGCTGATCAAGGCCCTCCTGGCCTTACCCCTCAGGCACCGGAGGCCTCGCTGGAGGAACCCCATCCCCTTCCCGGAGACGTTTGACGGCGACACCGACCGGCTCCCGGAGTTCATCGTGCAGACGGGCGCCTACATGCTGGTGGACGACACGCTGTTCTGCAGCGATGCCCTGAAGGTGACATTCCTCATCACCCGCCTCACGGGGCCGGCCCTGCAGTGGGTGATCCCCTACATCAGGAAGGACAGCCCCCTGCTCAAGGATTACCGGGGCTTCCTGGCCGAGATGAAGCGGGTCTTTGGCTGGGTGGAGGACGAGGACTTCTAGGCCAGGAGACCGTCGCTCGGGCCCGCCCGGGCGGGCACAGGTGCTCTCGGGGGAGGGTCCCCGCGCCGGCCGGCCGGCGGCTGCCGCCCAGATCGCCACGGACGGGCGTCGTCCTCCCACCGCGTCTCCCCATCCCTGTGTTCCAGTGGCGGCGATCTCCCCGTGCTCCTGTTCCCTCCTGCCTAGTGCTTGCCTTTGTTCCAGGAATAGCGCCCCAGGTTCCTGCTGCAGCTGGGTGGCTCTGGAGTGCGCCACCGCTGGCCGCCCCCTGCTGCCAGCCCGGCCCCTCCCCTGCGGACTTGGACTCTGTCCTGAGCTCCAGCTGCGAGCTGGGCTCCTGCTGCACACTGGACAGACCCCCGCAGGCCAGCCTTTGCTAACCTCTCCCTGCCAGGCCAGCGGGCCTGCATAGGTGTGCCCAGGGACCAGCACTGAGGCTGCCAGCACCATCCACCACCTCCAACCGACAGACTGCAGCCTCTAGGGATCTCTTCTCACCCAGGAGGTATCTGAGCTGGCCACAGCCCCTGGACAGTGATTCCAGCAGCTCGCCAAGCCCTTGGAGGGGCCGGCCAGCCTTTCACCTTCAGCGGGGCCCATTCCCTCCCTGCTCCCAGAGACACCTTCTATTCCTGCCAGGTGGCTGCCAGGTCCCAGGGGTGCCCAGCAGCCAAGTCGAGCCACTCGTTTTCTCCTGTGGACTTGTTCGTTTTGCCCAGCACCCAGTTCTCTTCTGAGTTTGCAGCTGTCTCTCTGGTGTGTGCCTTTTGTTCAACACAGTGACCCCTGCACTCTGCCCAGCTCTTCTACACTACCTAGACAACAGTCTTTTCCTTATTTTCAATAAATGTCAGATGCTATTGAAAAAGAAATTGAGTCTCAATTCATGTGGGGCCTCTCCCTCCCTGGTCCAATACATGGGGTCTATGTCTTGTTCAGCAGGTATGCCCCTGCCATTCTGTGGCTGGCATTGAGTCTAGCCTTATAACATAGCAATGGCAGTCCTCTGGTGGTCTTGCATGTGCAGACCCTCTGCTGATCATGCAGTCCCAGAGGCTGACTCTTCCAAACCAGTCAGTCCCGTGCCCCTTGGAAGTGGGCCTTGATCTGGTTTTGGCCCACTTTGGTAAGGAGAAGTCAGCTAGGAGGCTTTTCAGAGGTCTCTTTCCAAAAGCTGCCTGAAAGCACAACACCTGATTGTTACAAACTGAGAATCTCACATTTATTGGTGAACACCCACCCAAGTGTTATTTGACCTATTTTTCAGGGAACCAAAAGAATGACAGAGGTGCTTAGAAAATGCATTTGCATTTTTGGAGCCTTGATCTTCTAAGGACTGGGGAAAGGATTTCAGAACTGCCCTTCATTTAGGTACAAACCTGGTTGATGATCTGCAGGACCATAATATTATAACTTTCTCCAACAGGTAGAAAATTTAAAACAAAAAACTGCATTACCCTATGCATGCTAACTTCTTATGTCCACAGTGCTTGCTGATAAAAAGCCTCTGCTACCTCATGTGTGGCTGGGAAAACTTGTATCCCAATAGTCCGTTAAAGGTGGGCTTGTAAGACAACACTCAATTAACTCTGCCTTGTTTCTAATTTAGGTGATTTTTCCAGAACATATGAAAGAAAAATCAACCACAGCAGTGATTTTTTTACTGACTTTCCTCTCTCCTTATGAACAGGTAAACCTTTGCCCTTCATGTTTAGTTGTTCATAAGGCTGTATGTGGATCTAGATGTGCATTATCTTTGTTATGTATCTGACAGTGCTTTGTACCCAGAAATAGTGAAAACATTAACTTACAATTTGGCATGCAATAGATCAAACTCTTCTTGAAATCAGAGGGAACATTTGAGTTAATACAATGTGGTGATTATGGTTCACAGGTTTCTTAGGACAATTGAAAGTAGTTAAGTATATTGTTCTAAGACAGTGTTTCCCAAAGTGTGATACGCGTACCCCCAGGGGTACGGGAACAGTTTGTTGGGGGTACGCGCTGCACCGGAGTTTGGTGAGGATATGCACCGCACCATGCTTAGCTGCACCTAATTCTACATTCTCATGAGTACGAGGGGTACTCAGCATTACGATAATTATAGAAAGGGTACACATATGTCAAAAGTTTGGGAAACACTGCTCTAGGTGAAGGTGCTGGCAGTCTGCCTTCCTGGATGAGGTGGAGGGATGGTCGTGTTAAGCATGATCACTGTTTGGTTTTAAACATAGATTCTGTTAAAGTGGTTTCAAGTTTGCTTAGTGAGTAGGTCCAGAATATTCCCTATGACCCTGTCCACGTGGCTCTAGAGGTTGGTACAATGGGTATCCTTTGGAAAATGTCGGTAACACCCTACCTGGCTCAACAAAAATACCCCTGAGAGTTTCTTCCTCCTGCCAGAATGGCTCTCTTAGGGATTGTTCCTTGGACTACACTGATTGTATCATACCAACTCATCTTTCATGCTGAAAATATCTTTGGCGACTTGCTTGTGTAAGTAGTGGGGTAAGGAATACAGAACTGCGGTTAAGTGAGGTACAAACTTGTTTGATGACATGCAGGACCATACAATTATTACTTTCTCAGGCAGAAAAGGGAAAAAATCAAGACTCCTTACAGGGACAAAGGAATGACATTTGCTAGCGAGAAGGGAGTTTCTTTCTCATCATTTTGCAAGCTCATCCCTTCTGATTGTCATGTTTGGCTTGTTTCCCTCACCTTATTCTGGCAGTCTACTCAATACCCAATCAAGAAGCCTTATCTCAGAAGAAGGAAGAAATATAAATACTGACAAAAAGGAACATGGATGTAAGAGGGACATATAAAAATCCAATTAACCTTCTTTTGTGTGTGTGCTGGGGACCCAGAGTGACTTGAAAGCTATAATTAAGATACCATTACAAAAATTTTCATTACTCCCAAAGGAAAAACATGTGCCTCCCTTTCCTCCCCTTCCCCAAGCTCTGCCAACCACAAATTGAGTCTCTGCATTGATATTTTTGCTTATTCTGAACACTTCATATAGAAGCATACAATATGTGGTCTTTATGCCTGGATTCTTTCACTTCCTATTATGTTTTCTATGTTCATCATGGGGTAGCATGTGTCAATCCTTCATTACTTTTTATGGTTGAATAGTATTCCATTGTATAGATAGAGCACTTTTGCTCCATTCTTCAGCAATTGAAGGTCATTCACTCCCCATTTCCTCTGACTCTTTGGACGGAGTGTACATACCTGTTCTTCTGAATCTAGGCTTGGTCATATACTTGCTGTTGTTTAATTGAGTATATGAGCAAACATGAAGTGCATAAAAGATGTCAATATGCTTGGGTGCTTTTGATAGTCTCTTTGGTCTCCCGTGATTGTCATGAGAAGAGCATGCCCCACATAGTTGTTGAGCCTTCATATTAGAATACCCAGTGACTTACCTGGAGCAGATTTAAACACACAATCTGTATCCTAGAGACAAGCCTACCCTAACTGTATCCTGAAGCAGAATAACCCAGATGGCCCAGAGCATGTGAGCATGGAGAAAAAAAATTACTGTTATAAGTTTTGGGGAAATTTCTTATGAAGCATTACAATATCAATAGCTGACTAATTCTGAAACCAACAAATGATTTTTTTTTATATCCTTGGCTGGCAATAGGGGGGATCTGTTAACTCCAACCACAACTTAAGTGGTAAGGGAAGGGAATGGTTACTAGAACATAAGAACTATAGGAGAGAAACCTGGACAGGATTTGCAACCTTTGATAGAAGAACTCAGTCACAGTCACAGTCACTTCTCAATCTGGTAGATGTGGTTTGCCAAACTCACCCAGAAGCCAGAGAGCAAGGGCACCATTTATGCAATCCATAAAGGTCAGCCTCCTCGGCACAGAACAGAGTGGAAGAGAGTGGATAGTAGTTAAAAAGGGCATGGAAGATATAGAAAAGAAATATGAACAATCAATTTCAAGTGAGGAAATTTTGAAGAGATGCATAATCACATTAGTAATCAGAGAGATTTTATTTTATTTTTTTAAAATATATTTTATTGATTTTGTACAGAGAGGAAGGGAGAGAGATAGAGAGTTAGAAACATCAATGAGAGAGAGTCATCGATCAGCTGCCTCTTGCACACCCCCTACTGGGGATCTGCCCGCAACCAAGGTACATGCCCTTGACCGGAATTGAACCCGGGTCCCTTCAGTCCCCAAGCCGACGCTCTATCCATTGAGCCAAACCGGTCCCGGCAGTAATCAGAGAGATTTTAAATAGAACAACAAAAATAGGATCCTATTTCAAAACTATTAGATTGGCAAATGTAAAAATAATAACAATATCAAATGTAGAATGGATATGGAGAAATGAGAATTTTCATATGCTACTTATGATAGTGTATAGCAAAACTGAAATTGTACAAAAAATAAATGCGACAATGCCTCAATAAGACATGCATATCCTACAAATGAGCAAATTCAATAAGGATGTTAACTACAGCATTTAAAAAAATGTGTGTTTGATTAGAACCTCTGAACTGTATGACACCTTTGAAAGCAGCCTCATCTGTGCATAGCCAGGCAGCAGATAATATTTTTATGCAAAAAAAAACAAAAACAAACAACAACAACAACAACAACAAAAAAAAACCAACCCTTAGTAAGTGTGGAAACATTCCATTTTTTGGCTTGGTGGGCTGGGTGGGGTGGATTGTAGCCTGGGTAATTGCTTAGAAAGGGCCACTTCAGAAGTGAATAACCTAGATTCTAGAACATGAGCAGCAGTCCTGTTTGTAGTAAATAAAAATTAGAAACAACCTATGTATTATCGGTAGAAAAATGCATACACATGGGTATATACATTTGTTTTGTCCTCTTTTGTTAAATTGATTTGATAGAGAGAGGGAGAGAGGGGGGGGGGGAGAGAGAGAAACATCAATTGGTTGCCTCATCCATGCACCCCAACCCAGAACCGAACCCAAAACCAGGGTACACTCCCTGACCTGTAAT